AAATTTGACACTTACAGGACATATTGAAGGAAAGAGGGTCAGGGGAAAGCAGTGTTTAGCCTACTTCACTATTTTGCATAAATGATTGGAAGAAAGGGTTAAAGAGAAATAGCAAATGACAAACCTTATTACAAGCTACAAAGTACAGGCAGGAAGTTGTGGAGACCCATAATCACCCATGTCCTGAAGGGCATAACACAGAGAAGAAAAATGCATTTCAGTTGTGTAAGGTGAGGGACAGAGAGGAAATATGTACTCATGATTTGGTTGACTTCCACACTTGTAAGTCATTTGTTAAAAATTATTTTGACAAGCAACTATATCTTATGATAGAAACTAAAAGTTTTACTTTCCACCTCAAAGAATAAAGAGCCTTTTTAGAATTGAAGTATTTATGACTTGGAAGCCAATTTGTGAAAAAAAGGAGCAATATTAAGGTTTTTCAACTCTTTCATATCATATTTTATAGAACAGCTTCCACTAGAATAAAACAAGTTTAAGCATTAACAGTCTGGTACATTAGCTCTCTGATATTTATTTACTAAATGCAGAATAGTGAATAGTGTGGCAAGAGATGCAAAAAAAGAGCAACTCTGTTTTTCAAATGCTACCATTGCACTTAAGCCTTAATGGATAGCAGCCACTTCTTAGCTGCTTCCTTTCTCACAGTTTAATTCCTCAATATAAAAGCAATAATGGAATGAGACTCTTTGAAATCTTCCAGCACAGTACTTGCCTAGTTATCTTGTGCAAGTAGAGTGCACATTTGGTTTGATAATTATCAAAGATTAAAGGTGACTCTTGGACTCGATAAATGCCTTTTGAAGAAAATTGAATTATCTGAGGAATTATAAAAGATATTAGTATGCATGAGTAGAAAATAGTTTATCCTTTTCCATTGAGGGGCCTTCAAGAAAAATGACCTGTAATAGGATTTGATAAGAAATGATTCCAAATTTGGGGCATTTAGTGTTAAGGTTAAGGACAACTGAAATGACAATTTCCTAATAAAATCAGAAAGAAAGAAATTGTATGACTGTAAATACACTAAGCTAAACATTTAAATAATTATTTCATTATAGTTTAAACAGAATACAATAATTCTATTCTGCCAGTAATGCTTTCTTAGTTCCTGACCCACTGAGAATTCCTTTATTCTTGTTTTGATGCCAAACAGATTGAGTGATGAAACATCAGATTTTAGTAAAATATCATAAAAAATATTCAATGTCAGAAAAACTGTAAATTGGTGTAAGTGGTAAAAATTGGAAATTATGTATGATTGATTCAAATTGGCAATAAAATAGAATTACAATTTTCATTTTTTTCCTGCTACTTTTTATTTTATTTTTTTTGACTTTGTCAGAGAAGAGCAAAAGATATCTGCCAAAAGCTATGTTTTAAGAAACTGTAAAATTTTGTTAGAAACCAAGAAAAGAGTACTGAACTGTTTTGCAATATGAATTCTCTTATACGGCAGTGAATGTTGAATATTCTCCAAACATATGTGGTTCTACAGAAGAATGTTTAGAATATCATGAACTGAACATGTGAGCAATGATGAGGTTTTAGAGAAAAAAAAAACTTAGAATGACAGACAGTTGAAATTTCTAGGGTACATAATGAGGAAAGAGGGCTAAGAAAATTTGACACTCAGAGGACAAATTTAAGGCAAGTGGTGCATAACCTATCAAACAAGTTTGTCCAAATGTTTAGCAGAAAGTAATTACTTCTGTACATATTTCTTGGGGAGGCATAGTGGAGTATTGGATAGTGGCTTGGATTGAGGAATCAGAGAGCCGAGTTTGAATTCCAGTCAAATCCATTACATTCACTTATGTGGTAATACCCTTGGGAAAGGTATGAATCCTTTTCTTCTGTTCCCAGCTATGGGTAAATAGCAGGACAGACTGGGTTCTATAGCCTTGGATGGCAACTGGTCTACTGCAGAAAGAAATGGCAACCTCCTTCAAGGCGGGGGAATCTGCCTAGTCAGTCATGTATTGAAAGATACGTGATTACCTAAGCATGTATCACATATGGCATATAACTGAGACATTTTTCTTTCTCATTTTTATTGTAAAGGAAATTCTGAAGAATATAACAGATATTTAAGATCAGACTTAATATTTTTAAACTTAGGAAAGCTTATGTAGTCAAAGTTCTCTGATAATTTTTGCCAGCATAATATTCTGAGGTTTCACTTCATTTTATGTATAATAGAAGATTAAAAAGAAATGAATAACATATTTGTTTTGTATTTTATATATATATATAGAGAGAGAGAGAGATTGTTTGTGTATTTTTCTTTTTTTGGTGTCTTGTCACCTTCAGGCACTCATCATTATTGTGTAATTAGATATTTTGATTTTTCCTTGCATACCATTTTTTAACATCTTCTGTTAGCAAGTGAGTTAATTAATTTGTATGATTTATAAGACTTTGGGTATTCAATATTTCTAGTTCTGGTTTTCTTTTGCTTTTTGATATTATGATGATCTGATTTCATTTTGGATTGAAAATAGAATCAGATAATGAGAATAGTTTTTTAACAAATCAAAGAATTATAGCATACATTTCTGAACATTACAGTGAACTAAAAATTATTTAAATCTCAGTCATAAATTATATTGAAGATCATTGCTTTTGTCATGTCATCAAGAGAATTGTGTTCGAATTGATTTTGTAAAATATCCACAAACTTGTGCAATAGACTAATTTTGTAATCAAAGATATATTTGATCAGAATTAATTTATCATTGAAGATATGTATTTTACAAATAATACACTTTGCATGTTTGACCTCACCCAATCAAAAAAAAAAATATTTCTATTTTTCACAAAATAATGCACATCAGTGTATATTATCCTTCATATAGAAAATATATAGGAAAAAGATTTTAAATTTTTTGCTTCAATTTCAGCAAGGTTTTAGCTGCAACAAATTGAAGGGCAATGTATAAAGTGTTGTTGAAAAGTTTTTGCTCTGACCACAAAATCAATATTTCATTAGGATCCGTTGTGTGTTTTAAAAGCATAATAATGATATAAAAGTATGTTGTTCTTCTATAAAGTTCCTGGAAATTTATTAGATAAGTAATCCCATTGGACAATTTAAAGAATATGTACCTCTTTGTAATATATTTAATTTCATCACCAAATTCAGTCATTCACTCTTAAGATGTAAAATAGTCACTTACTCACTAGTGTTTTCCATTTTGACTGATTAAGGAGTAAATACTCAAACACAATTTTCTTTATTTTCATCAAGTGCTTACCACTTGATGAAATTAGTCATGAGTAAGCAACTATTTTAAATCTTAAAATGAATTTTATCTTACTCTGTTCTTCATTGAGCATTTTTTGTTGCTGCAGTTGTTTTGGGATCTGTAAGACATATTCTTATCAGTCTTAGCATATGAATCTGCACTTAATATCATTGTATACTTTTGGCACCTTTTTATATATATATATATACATATAATAATAATAATAATAATGGACTCTCCCGTCAGTTTCAACGTATCAGGATCTGACAGCTTATTGATTCAGTTATGAAAGTTTGTGCGATAATCTTAAGTGACAATTAAGATCTGCTAGTGATTTTACAAAGGATGCCACATATGGAGCAAGTGTGAGGATTGTGAGATGAGATCACTTAGATTGGCTGACCTTTTAGATCTTGCTCTTACTTCTTCAAGATGATTCAGACAAGCAGATTGAAAATTGCTGAGTCCACTAAAACATGTTGATATCCATTCTACCCGCTTCAAGGCTAAGCACTCAAGGGTGTTATGTGGTATATTGACTGCTGACAAGTTGCTTGTCTTTGTATCTTAGCCATGGGCATCCTACATTCCTGTAGCCCTGATCTAACTGGCTATATATTAGGATCTTGGGTATCCTAACATCAGAGAGAGAGGGAGGGAATACAGATTCAGCAAATATGGATATTATATGATCAGTCAGTGCATTCATACAATCTTAACGTCAAAGTGATTGCTATTACTAAAGCAAAACATGTAGTCTGTATATAAAATTATTCTCTAAATTGTAAATTAATGTAAATTATATGCTGAAATAAACAGTGGAGGAGAAAAAGTTCCTTGTGTGATTGCACTTAATTTGTAATAAATTTAAACTTGTATTGATTCTTTGTCACCTGAGGTGCAACTCCATGTTGCTTGGAGAAGACAAGAAAATTGTTCTATGATGATAGCATCTTGATGAATTGAGATTTATACAACCAAGAGAAGCATTGGATAACATTTGGCAAGATTTGTATCTATAGATCACAGCCTGAGCTTTTCCTGGGAAGTGGTTAGTGCTTTGATTACAGTGAAGACAATAAATCAATAAATTGTACTCTGGAGAGATTGGCACTTTTATTGTATATAGAGAATAACTCTGTAATACTGCCTTTAGGGGTTATCCACAAGCTGCTGCTGTTAGAGAAATTTGTACTTACATTTCACTACAATAAATAACATAAAAAAATTGTCACATGAAGAATGTCTTGAGTGTTGCTCTGAAGCCAAAAAATATTTGAATTTCAATACAGACAAGAACTTGATAAAAGAAAAATAGAATGTACACCACAATATAGATGCATATTTGCAGAGATTAACTCTAAGATTTCTGCAGAAGCTATCAATTTTATTGCAAGGTTGAAAATGTTTTAAGATTGATCAAATCAGAAGCAACCATATCTTTTTATTGTTATTTTTTTCTTAATATTTGGTTTGTTAAAGAAAACAAGCTAAGAAAAAAAAAAAACTATTGTCAGCCATTGTCCATACATCCTTTTGTAAATCTATGAAGAGTAATTACTTTTTTGTTTCTTGGTAATTTTTTTTACTTCACATTTTAGTATATTTTGTCATTGATTTCACACAATGACTTTTGCTTATCTTCTCTTTTCTGTCCATTCTTGGATGAATATGATTCTTTAGAAAACAGGACTGCTTAAAAAAAATGTCAATTTTATTTTTATTTTTAAGGCAAATACCCCCATTTATTGGCATCTGTGTCTGGTGAACAGCCTGAAGAATGCTTTGATGGCCTAAAAACAAGTGTTCACTTTGAGGATGTAGCAGTAGGATTTACAAAACAAGAAGTTATTAAACTAAAAAATCTTTCCTTGGTAAGTAAATTATCTACATTCAATACTTCGGATGTCATTGGTATGACCAATCTGGTAATAATCTTTTCTCTAACATGAAAATCTTTTTGCTATGAAATGTTTATCAAATATTTTATGAATAATGCTTTTTTCCATTTCTGAAATCTACAATATATATATATATATATGTATATATATATATATTAATGTTTTTTAATAATGAAAAATAAAAATGTCATTTGCAAAATTATTGCAAGTTTATAAACAATGTCAAGCTTTAAAACAAATGGGATATTTGTTTACTTGGAAATACATTGTATCAAGTGTTAAATTACTTGCATAGATATTGAATGTGCATCAAAATAACATAAAGAAATATTTAATTTTTTTAACCATTAAATATGTAAAAGTTTGATTTTTAAGTTATGACTGATCAAAGTTTAATATATAACATAATTATAATTTTTATTAATTGATCAAATCAGATATTTTGATGCAACAGTTAGAAAGAACTAACAGATTTTTTTTTAAAAATGGCATGTATTTTAAAATGTTGGATAAGTCTATGGCTGTGTGGTTAGAATCTTAATGAGCACCAGGCTTGAATCTTACCAGAGTTGATTTGTCAAGGAGGTGACTTCTTGATAATAAAAGCATGTGATGCTGTTGGTAAGTGCCTCAAAACCATATCACAAGTTGACCGAAGCCTTGTGAATGAAATTGGGCAGATGAAACTGTTTGGGAACCATCAATGATTTTGCTAGCACAAAGTCATCATAAATGGAGCTTTGAGTCTAATGGCCTTATTTTGACCAATGATCATTGCCAAAATATACACTGTCTCTGAGAAACTATAACTGGAGTCAGCTCAGTATAAACCACAAAATTGGCTTTGGGGGTCTTGAAGAAACCTAAATGTGCCTGAGCTGACGTCTGCAACAGGAATTATCTAGCAAACATTATACATCAGAATATGGCCTGTGTATCCAGGTGAAGGAAGAGCAATAAACTAAGCAAAGGTTTATATAAAAAGAATGGGTTTAAAAAAAAGAAAAAAAACTGTTTTAAAAATTAGCTTGTCTTGTAAGCATTAATCTACATTATCCACACAAAAAAACTGGTATCAACAAAGCACTGAAAAAAAAACTAGTACAAGTAAATTCTGCAAATCTATTCAGTCACTACAGCAACAGTATTATGAACACTGACACACACACACACACACACACATATATATATATATATATATATATATATATATATATATATATATATATATACCGTATATTTTGACAGCATATTTTCATTTAAGCATGTCTGATTAAACAATTTAAACATTGTATTTGCTTATTTTTAATAAGACCCTTTCATAATCATGTATAAGCTTTGTTCTTTTGTGGTTAAAGAGTGCAAGAAAGGTACTATGTTTGTATTCATTTTATTTTTCCAAGTAATTTTGATATATTCACAATATCATCTTAGGGTTATGATGGCTAGAACAATTAGTTGTGTGTTAGACGTAAATTTTTTCTTTGTCATTAACAGCTAATGATTCTGGTCATGCAAAAAGTTACAAGCAGTGAACTTTGAAATTTTTCTTTATTGTAATGGTTATAATGCAGGGGAAATAACTTAATTAAGAATTGAATACTTGTAGTAGGTTATAGTTTGTTTATAAAAAATTGTTTAGTTTTAACATAGATATTTCTAAAGAACTATATACTATAAGCATTTCAGAACATTTGTACTATATTCATAGTTATATATGGTGAAATGAACCAAAAGTAGATAAAATTTTAAATATATCTAGAGAATGAAGAAAAAATTATTGAAGATAAGTTGTTCACACAACATAAAAAGTAAGAGAAAAATCCTTGAATATTGCAGTAGATTTTTGGTTACTTATGTTTCCTCTGAGACTTTCCAAATCTTTTTTCTATATTTCACTAATATTTCATTTACTTGCCTTTTGTATTTTTTGTTATTTGTTGTTCAGCATCTGCTCAACACTAATGGCTTCATTCTAACTTGCCATTTTGCTGCTTGAATTTCACCCCTGCCAGGGTCTTCTAAGGGTTTGATTCACTTCAGGGTAGTGGATAACATGTGGATATTCCAGAGTAAAGCCAGAATCAAAGCTAGGATTTCTGTGGATTGGCAAGAATAATGATGGTTCTCTGTATTCAGAGCAGGGGACACATAGGTTAATGTCTTCTCCCAAGAATTCTGAGAGAGAGAGAGAGAATATTTTTCTGACTTCACCAAGACGGGAAACTGATTTAGTGTTGCTTTTGGCCAGACTTGCTGATATAGTTTACTTGAAAGCAAGATGAGAACTTGCAGGCATAGTTCGGTGGTAAAGAAGAGAACTAAAAATATTTCTTTCATATGAGTTTGTTGACATCTTTGCTGTACATTAACCTGGAAGGTAAAGGAAACTGATTTCATTTACTTATGCCAAGTCCTTTTTTTTTTTTTTTTTTTTTTTTTAAGATTTTTTTTTATTTGAAAAAAATAATTTTTCTTATGTGTACAGTCTAGAGAAGATAAATTCTGATGAAAAAAAACCCAAAAAAAAAACCCCTCTCATATCCCGAGACAGTTTTCTATATACTCAAAGGTTATATCAGAATTAGACAAGAAAAATGAAAGATTTGAAATCCTACCAATTTAAGTAGCTTTATTCTTGTCTGATTTGTACTTGTAAAATCAATAAAGCTTGGATATCATCTTGGCTACCATTATTTTAACATAATATTGATAGTCAATATTATATTTTCATCCTAAATATTAAGTTGGTAAAGTTTGTGACTAAATAATCATTAAAGGAAGAAAACTGATTTGAAAGAAAAAAAAAATTAATTTTCAACAGTCATATGTGAATCATTGATTAACATTGTCAATATGAACTCATCAATCCCCCTTCACTGTCACTGAATTTTCTACAAAACCATTTACGGTACTTTACTGTATTGCTAGAAAGATAGGTAAGGTAAAATTGTGTCTAGGTAGTTACAAGTATTTGCTTTGATCCTTCTTAGCTAACATTTTAGCTGATTAACATTTAACTTAAATATAAACTAGAAAAGAAGATATTAACTTAATATCATTTATTTTGATTGTGGTTGTTTACTGTTAAGCTGTAGTATTTATTCTTTATTAAATAAAATTGAAATAAAATGAATGTTTATTTGAATCCTATCTTTTACAATTCTTCAGGTGACTTCTTTTTTTATCTCTTTGAACATAAATGAAAAGAAATTCTTAGAATGATAACTAGATAGTCTCTTACCCTTTTTTAAAAGGGATAAGCTACATGCAGAAAATCCTATTTATTTAGAAGATGAGTTTAGATAAATTAAACTTAAAAAGAATACATTACATTTGGATTTATCAGCTGTGTGAGTTATATAATTATCAGCAGCAATTCTCTTATAATTGATGTATATTTGCTATTTTGTAAAGATAAATTTTATGGTATTTTAGATAATTAGTGTCTATTCCTATGTATTTTACTCTGAAAAAAAAGCAACTGGAAACAATGACTTATAATTCAATGTGGCTTATGAAAAGAATACTTATTGCTGAGAAATGGACAATTACATTTAATTTATCAAAACATTACAGTTTTAAATTGCAAGACTGATGTTAAATTTTATCAGGAAATTTCTAAAAACTGACAAGTAATTTAGTATTAAAAACACAAGAAAATCTTTTTGAATTTGAAGTTTAATGAGTACTTTTTTTCCTAATGAAATTAAATGTGGTATTTTTTGAAGAAACAAAACATTTTTAAAAATTAAACTAATCCTTATGAGACTGAATATTTGGAGCTATTTTTAAGTTGATTTTTGTGTCAAGGCATGAATCTGTTGCTTCTCCCCATCCCTCAGCTATGTGTTAAATAGCAAAGTATGCTGGGCTCTCAAGCCTTTAGTATCAGCCATTTTAGGAGATGGACAACTCTCAATTCAAACCATAGAGAATGCAACAGGAAACCACTCTTTCCTTATGAGTTATGACAATTCAGAAAGGAAACTGAAGAGCCATGTCCATTTATATCTTGAAGTAATATGACATAAAAACAATGTGTACATCACACCATATTTCTTCTTTCTTTAAATAATTGACAGATGTTAAACAGATAAATAATAGATTGCTCTGTCATGTCATTATCAGATGAACTTAATATTCAAATTTTAAATTTTATCAGATTTAATTGTATATTTGTCAAATCAGTGAATCAGCCAAGGTTTTTTTAAAAGAAATATTAGTTTTATTTCATTTCTTATATGAATGCATGAAATAAGTGAAGGGAACCTTTTTTCAGTGATCCTGACCTGTCCACTAAAAAGAGCAACTTTTGTGTTTTACTTTTTTTCTTGTTTACTTTTGATTTAAATGAATTTCTTTTTGTTGAGTCATTCTATCATTTTAAAATTAAATTTTCACTGTTAAGTCCTTATCTCTTGAACTGATCTCAGTAAAAGAATTTTCAAAGTTTCTTAAATTTTTTCTTTCTAATTTATCTAACTAGAATGTTCTGTTTGCAATTAGGGCCACTTCATTGTCAGTTTTGTTATCATTTTTACTTTTTAAGATTTCAGACATGAAATTCTATGTAAATATAAAAAAGATTACATGCTTATTTTGTAATTTTCTATCAACTTATTCATAATTCACAGTTGGAAAAAAGCATGAATAGATGGCAATTTCTCTGATGAAATATTCGTTGCTTTAGAATTTTAAAAATAAATCCTAACATTGAAAAAAATAGCATACTGTACTGTGTCAACTACAAACTGTATTATCAAAAGAAGTGATTCTCAAACAGGAATTTCAGTCATGAGTACAACTCTGAAAAAGTTAAGAGATGTGAATTCAAAATGGAGTAGAAATTGAAAAATTATAAGGAGAGAAATGTTAGCTGGTACTTGAAAAAGCATTGATCTAAAGTAATGGGTTGTAAAAAGATGCATTTAAATTATGCACACCAAATTTTAGGGTTGTACACAAAAGGA